CATGACTGGTTCACGCGTCATGAAAAGGGAGGTGACGACCGTTGTGGATCGAACACTATTCGTCATATAACAGGTCGCAAGTGGTGGTGAACGTGTAGTCGGCCGGAATGACCATCTATCATTACGCTGGGATTCCCCTCATGACTGCATAAGAATGCAAGGTAGACACAATGAAGGCTGGCATAGAGACCCGAGCAGAGTGTCCTTGATCTTTGTCCTGTCTACTCCCTCCCCAACTGTTCGTATATCACCAGCTGATTTACGGCGAAAACGTGAATACTGTCCCTGATACTTGTACACCAAGACGAACCAAGCGCCACCGTGTCGAGTTCATGTCAATGTCGAGTCAATGTCAAGTCGCTCCTTTGGTCTTGCGAGTGATGGGTGTGTGCCAGGCTGACAGGCTGTACGATGGGGACTTGTGAAATTCGAGGACGGGACACCAGCACTAACAGCATAAAGATGTAAAGAAAAGCCATCAAGATTGGTTGTACAGACCTTGATGGTGGCCACATCCCCTCGACATCTTGGTCTATGGCCCGGCGCTGCCAACCGGGATAAGTCGACATTCGACCTCCGCGGCCACCGACTTGGGCCACGCAACGTCCCATCGTGGCTAAATGCATTGCCTAGCAGCTAGTAGCGCAATGTCATCCTCTCCATCGTGCAACATTAACGCGGGGTGCGTAGGAGACGTCTGGACACTTGATAAAATATCGAGTCATCATCGTCTCGCATTCCCTCAACCCCACGGGCATATCTGCCCATTGGCTAAGCCCTTACGATGGTGGCGCCTCACGCCGACAATCTTGAACCCAAATCAATATTTCTGCAATTCAATCTCCGTCTCTGAAACATACTCTAACATGCCTCATCATGAAACAATAATATAACATGCGAAATTATCCCTAGCCATGTCACTCAAATCATACATGTTCCCTCCACCCCGTCCACCATCTCTCCTTCCCTCTCGTCGCTCATATCGCGTCTATTCAAACCGGCAACGCCAAACTCGGGTTTAAAAAAAGTACAAGAGTAAAGAAAGGAAAAGTGATTTTGGTCCATAAACGCCCCAAATCACGGCGCACTGCATTTCAATCTCATTCTTGATCCATGCCCACTCATGCTATACCAAATGCCTTCTTCATCTTCTCCCAGTAGTGTGACGACACGGTCTGGCAGCTCTGATCCCCCGTCTTGGTACAGTCTGGGAAGAGCACGACAAAGTCGCCTTCTTGATATTGCTCGCCGATGGTGGATTTCGAGTAAGACGCGAGTGTCCGTTGGGGGACGAGGGCTAGTTTGGAAAGGATGGTTGGGTGCCATTGGACGATATGTTCCTGAAACATTCAAAGTCAATACTGCATCGAGATGCGCGGGAAATTGGAAAGAGCAAGTCGTACCAATGCATGTCTCTCGGCTTTCTGGAAATTGTAAGCCCTATATAGAGGATCGAACCACGTCTCGACAAAGAACTTGGCGAATTCTCCGTTGCGAATAACAACACTCTTGTGCACAAGACCCTCTTTATCCTGGGTTACGATAAAGTCAATGCTTTCGCCGCCCAAGTGCGAGAATGTCTTGATGATGCTGTCAGGCGGTACAACAGGGTAATCCTTGATCATGAGACTCTCCAGCCTGCTGGGCCTCGTAACCTGGTCCTCCAGGCTCTTGGTCGGGTCCATAATGTAGGCGTCTTGATCGAGGTACCAGATAAACTTGCAATCGGGATATTTCGAAAGGGCGTGACGCATGGCAAATATTTTGGCCCATGATCGTGGGGCTCCTCGCGTATCGTAGTCTAGGGCGTTGACGACCATTGCTTGGTAGCCTTTTGGGTGGTTAGTATTATTTCCTGTTGAACAAGTGCTTTAAACGCACCATGTCTCGCGGCATATCTCTCGCGATTCTCCTTAATCGTGTCCAAATATGCAGTGTCCCATTCACTGGGGTCAATTACCGTCACCAACACCACTGACGGATGGCCTGAGGGCACATGCTCGTGGTAAGGATCGGGCTTTTTGCCCCCAAAGAGCAAGTAGAGCGCGCCCAGGAAAAGCAAGGCTCCAATGGCAATGTTTTTTAATCTGCTTCGTCTAAGCAGAGATATATTCGATGACATGGGCCGAAACGGCGGCGGGTTCGAACGCTTTCGCGGGGGGTATGGGAGATGCATTGTTGGCCAGCTCGTCCTGTCCTTTCGCAAACACAGGGCTTAATCTATTTCGTCGCAATTTTATCCCCTAGACCGTCGGTATGCGCAGGTTCAATGTTGTCCTTGACAACATTCGGCCGTGCTCGTGAAAAGTCGCCTCGCGGCAACACGCTTCGTGTTCGAGCGGCTGCGATATGGCTATCCCAACTGCTTGTGGGAAATCTTGGTCAAGGCCTCGGGGATCGTCGATTGATGCAAACGTCAAATGAGACGGGCGACAGAAGACACACCCTCGGGGAAATAGCAAGCTGTCAAGAAAAGGTCAATGTCGGAAAAGGGATATAGTGTCAAGGGCGCACGGCTGGTCTCTGCAGGTGAGCCATCGGCCGAGGAACGTTAGTCGTGAGGTTTTCTGGGAGTTGTGATGATTAGGAGTTTGCTGTGTTGACTAAGATAAAGTATCAATTGCAGTAAGGGTCAGGTAACGTTGAGCAGACAGGGGCACTGGGTGGACAAGGACCTATCAACACGCTGCCACATTGCTGCAGATGCCTGGGGCTAATAGTACTTAGTGACAAGCCGTCTCGTTCTAGGGGTTCTCCATCCAGCCGCTATCAATTGATGGCTGATGGACACAATTTATCGTGCCACCTCATACAAACACTGGCTCTTCTGTATTCACGGACTAGTTCACTGGAGCATTCGATCGGGCATATTGACTATATACTGTATTGTAAATTTAAATTTACTAGGCTTATACGACTAATACATCCAGCCCTGGCAGGCAGTTGATGCTGGATACAGAGTAATTTACGTAGGCCAAGGTTCACTATACTGCGCCGGAAGACGATGATAAATGTATCAGTAGCGCAAGGCAATCTACCCACGGCTTTGTACATGTTGTACCAAGTAGACGCCAAATAGCTTCATACACCAAAACAGTGCGTGAGCATCAAGTTGTTGCTACCGACCTGTCACACCGTACCGACGAGCTCACATAGCCAAAACGGCTCAGGCTCAAGGTGACGGTTAGACGTTAAATATCTGCACGCAGACTAGTTGACTTGACATGGAAGAGCAAAAGTCGAGGCAACTTAAGAGTGTGCAAGGTCTACATGAACACGAAGCATATCCTGGAACTCAAAAGAAATGCATTGGCGGTTGATCATCATCGCTATTTCTGCCGGTTCTTGTGACTAGCTGTCTCTCCCTATTCTCTTCATTAGCGTGGACCAGCATCACCGCCGTCCGGCATCGCTTCTTCATATTCGTCATCTTCGTCGCCGACATCCATGACTTTATTGCTGACATTGGTCAGAATTCGTGCACTCATTGCCTTGACAAACCTCCACACGGCCATCATAAACGTAAATGCTCCAATGATGACAAAAAGCAGGTTGAAGTTGTCCATCCTGCTCCTGCCCGTGCCGCCGCGTCTGCCGGAGCCAAAGAGCCCTCCAGCACGGAAGTTGATCCAGTGCCACGGACCCATTGCAACAAAGGACTTGATGGCACCAATCAGCCCTAGAGAGAAGAAGCCCTTGGTAAAATGCTCGGTCCACGTGCTGGGCTCCTCGTACACCGGCGGCCGCACAGCATCCAAATCTGATACGACACTCGATACTGTGTCTGCAATAGACCCCACAGGATCAAACCACAAGTCCATGATGGGATCTGCAATAAAGCCAAGGATAAAGAGGCTGACAATAAGGACCACTATTGTCAAAAAAACCTGTGCCCATTTGCTGCTGAGCCTCGAGGCCCAGTGCAGCCGAGCCAGTCGATAGGTGAACTTGCATGTCGGGCATTGCCAGAAATTTCTCGTGGCAGTGGGGTTCGTCAACCGCCATGCATCGAGACATCCTTCGTGGACATATTTCGACGAGCCCTTACACTTGCAAGGCGACAAGAGCCGGCCAAGTTCAGGGTCGTCTGATTCATACACGGGCCGTGACGACCTTGTCGACACGCCAAATGTCCTTGGGATATCCGTAGGGAATTTGGGATGCTCGGTGTCTAGACAAATTCGACAGGTCCGTGGGCCATAGCGACGGCCTTTTGGTTTCGCTTGGGGGTTTGGAGCTTCTTCCTTTGCGGCAGTGCTCTCGCCTGCTAGCCGAGGCCCTGATCGTCCGAACGTCTCGGTTCGTTCGGACGGCTGCGAGGACGCGTATGGCATACGTCGGCGCTCAAACGAGGTGCCTGCGTTTTCAAACGGTTCAGAATCCATTGCAGCACTGCGAGCTAAAACTGCGGTGGTAATAAGTTCTGATGCGTCGGAAGGGCTCAATTGCGTTCGATTCGGGTTGGTGAAATCAGCATATTAGGCGAAATGGCTGCGCTGCAGACCACATGGTCTGCCTTGAAAACTGAAGAGCAGACGGAGTCAATGCAGAATAGATATCTTACTGCCACAAGAAAAGACAAGAAAATAAGAGCCAACGATTGTTACGTGGGTTAATGCAGCTTTCAGGATGGTCAACCTCCAGGCCGATGTTGAGGCCACATCATCATGGAACACGAGGACAAGGCTATCGATCCGAAGCACCGCGTTAATTCTAGCAGCAATTCCTGTGCCCAACGGAATCCGTGAGGCGGGCAACGAAACGAGTGGGTCCTCGGAGTTCGGCCAAACTCATGCGCCGGGCTGGGAAGCTCCCAGGCCAGCCTGAACGCGCAGCTTCGCCCGTGCCTGGGCGACCGTCCACCAGGCTGCTTGAGGCGGGAACATCCAAGCTTGACTGTCGCAGTTGTTTCGACCTCATTAACCCTCCAATTCGTCTCTCTCTCCAGATCCGATACCACAAGAATCCTTGCCAAACCTTCTTTGGTGACCGTTGCAGCTATGGCGGACCGATATTCATTCTCCCTCACAACATTCTCTCCCAGGTATGTTGGGGCAAGATCGTCTTGATGTCACTTCGTGGTGACGACGTGCTTGGAGCTTAGCTAATTATTGCTGTGTAGTGGAAAGCTGGTGCAGATTGGTACGGAATTCTTATGCCATTTATCAAGACCTCCTAGTAGTGCTACGACGAAAATGCGATATCTGCAACTGTATTAACCTAATTCTCCGTAGAATACGCTTTGAACGCTGTCAATCAGGGCATTACCGCCCTTGGCATCAAAGGTTTGTACACTCCGCACCCGGCTTTCCATGTCTCTATGCATCTTCCCAGTACTTAAACTCCACCAGCTACCAACGGCATCGTTCTCGCCACCGAAAAGAAGTCGTCCTCGCCTCTCGCTGACCAAAGCTCCGTGTCCAAAATCAGCAACATCACACCAAACATTGGCGCCGTCTATTCTGGCATGGGTCCCGATTACCGAGTCCTAATTGACCGAGCACGCAAAGTTTCTCACACTGGCTACAAGCGAATCTACAACGAGTACCCTCCTACCAGAATATTGGTCCAGGATGTTGCTAGAGTTATGCAAGAAGCGACGCAGTCAGCTGGCGTTCGACCCTACGGTGTGAGCATGCTAGTTGCCGGTTGGGATGACGGCATCGAGCCCGAAGATGAGGCTCCCGCTGCTGAAGGTGACGAAAAAAAACCCACGTCCAAAACTGGTGGTATCCAAAAGGGCGGGCCTATGTTGTATCAGGTCGACCCTACGGGTAGTTACTTTCCCTGGAAGGCTACAGCTATTGGTAAGAGCGCGACCAAGGCTAAGACCTTCCTGGAGAAGAGATACTCTGAGGAGTTGGAACTGGAGGATGCAATTCACATTGCCCTTTTGACCTTGAAGGACAATATTGAGGGAGAAATGAACGGTGATTCCATTGAGATTGGTATGTCGCTTTCTGCACGCAATTAGGCATTGGCTATTTCGCCCGATCACTAACCGAGACTGTAGGTATTGTCGGCCCTCCTGCTGACCACTTGCTGGGAGTCGAGGGAGTCGAGGGAGCAACGGGCCCGCGATTCAGAAAGCTCACCCCTCAGGAAATCGAGGACTACCTGACGAGTCTATGATGTGTGAGCGTGGCTGGGTAATGACGTGAAGTTTGGTGTACAATAGAAGATCATAAATGCTCAATGAACCCTCGCAACGGAAGTCTTTCTGAAAGTTCAGTGTGATATATGCTGATTTAGGTTACACCTGTCTTCTGTGCTGTCAAAATAAATGACGATTTCGGTCCAGCAGCTACTCCTACGACTTGACAACCATCTGGAACACCCAGCTTTACCTTTGTCCATGTTTTTGCGACCATGTCCACACCTTGTCTCAAGCCAAGTTGACCATTATCATTACGACCAATCACATAAACAGTGCCATCAGTCGTCAGCGCTATGGCGTGACTATCCCCCAAGGCCACATCCTGTACATCTTTGTCGCCATCTACGCCGAGGTAGTTGGGTATGCCACATAATTCCGCAAACGCCGAATGGCCGCTTTGTCTTTGTCCTGTACATCTTCGACCCCAGATGTAAATACTTCCGCTCTGAGTGAGTGCCGCAAGGCAATAACCGCCGGCGGTAACATGTTTTATGGGTTCTCCTAGATTGATTAGATCGGGTACAAATCCCGGCTGATCAGCCGGTCTGTGTAACACAAAAATCAGTCCCATCGTTTGCTTTTCGGACGAACATGCAGTGCACAAAAGTATCTTGCAACTCACTCATCCGATGTAACTTCTCTAGCAAGGCAGTCCTGGTATCGCGGATCACCCATCGTGGCTACCTCGCCGTTTTGATACAGGATTATAAACCCGGCGGCGAAAGAGGCCACCTCTTGCACCTGGCTATTACATGGCCAACTCGTGGGGTTGGACTTTGATACAAAGTCGTCATAACAAGGATGCACTGTTAGAAAGTGTTTATTAGGCCCAAGCCTCACACCCGTATTTTCGGCAGATGTAGGACCGTCAAAGATCACAGTGAGGCCGTTGCCAGCGCGACAGGCCTGGTAACTTCGCTGGATATCTTCATCACTTGCGGTCTCGACCCCGATACCGGCACGATAGTACCCGGCGCGGCCGCGGACTGTTCATTGTGAAATGTGAGCTTTGAATTGGTCTGAGTCTATCAAGGAAGCTTTTATGGCATTGACTCTGGTTGCTGCGCCGTCCGCTTATCCCATACGTACCTAGCGTGTAGTATAAGCCTGCTCGAGGTCGTTCAAGGCAGTCGTCATCAAGGACTTTTGTAAATGTCGATAGGTCTTTAGGCTCGGCAACATCTCCCGATTCCGGCACGAAGCATAATTGGTTCCAGGCATTGAAGCCTGCAGCGAACAAGTCCATCTTTGGCCACGAAGCCAAGATCGAGCCCCCACACGGGACTTTTGCCCTGTGGTGGAAGAATACTAATGAGCGGCGCTAGGCGGGCTGCGGTCATAACGTGGCTCAGTCTGAGGATCTAACATGTCGTGGCAGCGATTGAGTCAGAACTTTTCCGCCTTGGGAACTGGTTCCGGATAAGATAAAGAACAGGGTGGTGCAACTGCGGTTATTGTCTCGTGATGACCAAAGGTTCCTCGCCAGTCCGCTTGAGAGACAAGGTTTGCGAGCTGTAATGTATCCTAGACTTGTCTGTCTTGGCTTGCGCCTGGATCTTTTGATGCCAAGGCAGTGAAGTATTAACAAACAAAGCGGCCAATTTCGTAGTTGGTGATGCTGGTGGCCCTAGCCTGGTGGGTTTGGTTCGAGGCGGTGCGAGCTAGACAAGGCAAAGAAGATGGTATATCTCATTTGACTTCGTAATGCTGTACCTAAACCGAGGTTAGTTTCTGTGATGATTTTGGAACCAACATGTAACAAACAAGACATTCATCCACACAGAGAGGTACGTTGGTTGTCCTGGACATGGACAATGAATCTTCCATTGGGCCGAATATTTCAAAGTGCCAGTAAGATATTACATGGTTACCAAAGCTTGACTGGGAGGGTGGCTTCGTCTGCCTGACGCTACATCGGACGTGGCTTGGAGCTTGGCCTGGCAGGTGCTTAGGCTCCAGTGGCTCCTTCCGGCTTTAGGAGCCTGGGTATGGTCTTGTTTCAAACAACCAAACAACCTTAACGGACAAACCATACTGAGGGTTGCATTTGACCCAACTCCTTGGCCTCAGGGCCCAAGGGTCTTGTTCGCGTAGTCCCTTTTCGCACTGAAATCGATGGCAGAGACGTCGATCGCTTTGCATTTCAACATCGTGAGCGACTAGCACCCCAGACTGCTAGCTGACCAAAAACAAAAGAACAAAAGCTACCCCTCCATCCACCCACACCCCGCCACTCGGAGCTCAACTTGAGCTCGAACTTTTCACGCACAAACACCCATTAAACGTGCTCATTGGTAAGAAAGTCCCTGCTCTATACATACGAAGTACCCCATGCTTCATCGCAGCTTGCGTCAATTTTGTCTCCGTACCCCTGTACTCTGTACTGAACCTCAAACTAATCCAGCGGTGACTGTCTACCTACCTAGTAGCCAGGTATTTAGCATCGGGGAAGAGAGTACCTTGTCCACTTCGACCTGGTGGCCTCGGGTTGCGGATTTAGCTCGGCCACGACTCCATACGAACATCCATTCCCATTGGAATCTTTTTGGTTCACACACACATGGCGGTCCATCTGCTTGGTGTTTGCCTGGTTCTTGTGGAATGAAACAACCCCATTCGCAAGCCCTATGCGTTAGTTGAATGGCGGGATGCCCAGAGGCTATCACCATAGAAATATGATTCCGGCTACATCTCCCGTTGGCTCTTATAGTTCCAATGAATCCGAAGTACCCGGTATATTACCGGAGACCGAATGGGTTGAAGGTGATCAAAATGACACCCCCACAGATTTCCCTAATATTAGGGAAACAATCTCTACCGCTGCCCTGCAAGCCTCTCCCCAAGAACAACTTGAGGATGCTTCACACCAGGGTATTGCTTGTGACAATGAGACGAGCGGAACACCCTCTGCCACTGCCATGTCCCCTCGAGCCTACCAGTTGGAGATGCTCGACCAGAGCCTCAAACAAAATGCCATTGTGGTTGTGAGTTTACCCGAACGATTCAACCCTTCGCCGCCTCCTATTTTAACTGTATGCTGTCAATTAGATGGACACGGGAAGTGGCAAGACTCAAGTGTAAGTCGTTCTTACGTCTCGCCTCTCCTATTACCTAACAACCTTCCTAAAACGACCATAAGTTCTGACCCCTTTCCAGTGCCGTGCTGCGCATCAAAGCCGAGCTGGATCGATCCGCTCCCGATAAGGTATTACCGGATTTGGAAATCATTCATTGGATCAGTTTCACTTATACAGATCTAGATAATTTGGTTTCTTGCACCAACTGTCGCATTGTGTGGCCAACAATTCGATGTGATTCGGTTGCAGGCAGCATCGGTAGCCATGAAACTGCTCACAGGCAACGATCAGGTTGACACATGGTCGGCCGACACCTGGGATACGATCCTAGATGGGGTGCGGGTTGTTGTGTCGACCTACCAGGTTCTCCTCGATGCACTTTGTCACGCATTCATCAGCATCGACCGGTTTTCTCTCATCATCTTTGACGAAGGTTAGCTAAATATTTGTAGCTACACCGTGAGCCTCAAACTAACTTTGCAAAAAGCACATAACTGTGTAGGAAAGCATCCAGGAAGCAAGATCATGACGGATTTCTACCACCACAATAAACATGCGGCTAAAAGCATTCCAAATATTCTTGGCATTACAGCAACTCCTAGTATGAAAGAAGATCTTGAGAACATGGAGATTCTCGAGGCAGTATTGGACGCGAAATGCATTTCCCCTACCAGGCATCGAGAAGAGCTTTTGAAGTGCGTCAAGCGACCCCAGATATACAGCATTGTTTATGACGCACCTCGGTCATTGCAGTACACAGAATCAATGTACCGTTTGCGAAAAGAGTTCCTAGACCTCGATATAAGAAAAGACCCATATATTTTAAGACTCCAAGAAGACCCCTCAGACCGAAATCGTCGGGCGCTCGTACGAGCTGTTGAGAAATACGACACATTTGTGCAGAACCAAATTAAGGGCTTATGGGGGCGCAGTGCCGAGATATTACAGCAACTTGGAACCTGGGCGGCGGACATGTACATCTGGAAGTCTTCTGCTGCCTTCTTGGCCCGTATAAACACCGATGCTATCTTCAATGATTGGATTGATGCCGAAAAGAAGTACTTGGCAGATTTCATTCGTCGAGTTTCTCCTTCTTGCCCAGCATCAATGCCACAAAGTGGCAGTGAGGTGTCTGAGAAGGCGACCGCCCTGGTTCGAGAACTTGTGTCAGTAGAGGAATCAACAGTTTGTCTGATTTTCGTAAAGGAGCGAGCAACTGCCGGTGCTCTCCGCGAGTTTCTGGTGTCGTGTCCACGTATCGTGGAAAAGCATCGCATCGGATCAATGGTTGGGACATCCAACTATCAGAGTAGGAAACTAGCTCTTTATGAACTCGTCGGACAGAGTTCAGACCCAATGGCAGCCTTGCAAAGCTTTCGTTCAGGAAAGATCAATATTCTCATCGCCACGTCCGTCTTGGAGGAAGGGATTGATGTGCCAGCCTGCAATATGGTCATATGCTTTGACCACCCTCAAACCCCCAAGTCATTTCTACAACGACGGGGACGGGCTAGGATGAAAGAGTCCAAACTGATATTGCTTAGTGAGCATTCTTCGTCAGCTGTTGCTAAATGGGAAGCGTTGGAGGAAAATATGAAGGCTGTTTATCAAGACACACAGCGAGAGATCCGCGCGATACAGAGCATGGAGAACTCTGAAGAGTCATCGTCAACTTTCATGGAAGTCGAGTCCACTGGAGCTAGACTCGACTTTGAGAATGCAAAGTCACATTTGGAGCATTTTTGCAGAGTTTTGTCTCAGGGAGAGTTTGTTGACAGTCGGCCGGACTATATTATTCATTCCCATGAGGACTGTGATTCAAGCTCAAAGCCAAGGTTGAGCGCCACTGTGCTTCTCCCATCATTCGTTCCCAGTCAACTTCGACAAATTGACAGCAAATTCAGCTGGCGATCGGAGAAGAATGCGACCAAAGATGCCGCCTTTCAGGCCTACCAGACTCTATACGAGGCTGGTTTGGTGAATAAACATCTACTACCCTTCAAGTATGAAGACATACCTGGCGTAGAGACCAGAGCCCCAGAGGTAGAAGTGGACGCACTGCTCAACCCTTGGTTCGGGGTGGCAAAAGCCTGGACAGAAGGAGACCAGTCATGGCTTTACTCTCTCAAATGTTATGACCACATGCACGGCGAATCTGAATACAACGTGCTTTTTCCTGCGGAACTCAGCGAGCTTCGAAATATCCAGCTATATCTCAACAGCAGTGATCTCTGTGAGCTACGTTTCGACTCCCGTCGCCCCATCTCTGCCGCTGATGTAGCTGCGATGCCAGATCACACTTCCGCATTGCTAGCACTTCCCTTCGCACATCGATGGCCAATTGAGGAAAAGCATCACATTATCAGGGTTTGGACACAAGAGCATCACGTATCAATGGGTGGGATTGGCGGCAAGACCTTTGACCCAAATAGCAGTGACGTTATTGAAGGGAAGTACTTGATTCGAAACGAGTCAAACAGCCCATATCACTATGTAGGGCTCCTTCCATCTAAACCTCCGGTTGAGAGTGTTCAGAGCTCAATCTTTGATTACGAAAATGCTCCAGCCGATGAACCATATTTGGTTGTTAAGAAATGGACCAAGCGATCCGACTTCCTTCATCCTGTTCTCTTCTCCGACGCTACGCCTGCGACGACAAAGCCATATCCTCGAGTTATTCCTTTATCTTGGGCAACAGTAGATAGCATCCCTCTCAAATTCGCACAGTTTGGCATGCTTATACCATCCCTTATGCACGAGTTAGAGGTCACATTGATTGCGAAGGAATTATCGACCACGATCCTGGAAAGAATCAACATCACTGATCTCAGGCTGGTTCGAGAGGCAATTAGCTCCCGTAGCGCAGCAGAGCCTGTCAACTATGAGCGGCTTGAATTTCTTGGGGATTCGATTCTAAAATACTGCACTGCCATACAAGTCTCTGCTATTCGTAAGTCTTGTGTATAGGTTTCCCACCTAGATACTAACTGACAATGTTGTACAGATCCAGAATGGCCTGAAGGATATCTTTCATTCTTTAAGGACCGCCTTGTAAGCAACTCTCGACTCTCCAGAGCAGCCATAGATGTAGGGCTTGCCAAATTTATTCTCACAAAGACCTTTACCGGCCAAAAATGGCGACCATTGTATCTGGAGAATTATACCGGGAACCCAGGCAAAGTGTCGCCACGAAAATTATCGACGAAGACCTTGGCTGATGTAGTAGAAGCACTTATTGGAGCATCGTACGTCAACGGGGGCATAACAAAAGCACTGAGCTGTATATCATTGTTCGTCAACGAAATACAATGGCAAGATGTCAGCGCAAACCGAGCGCTGTTTTTCAAGATGGCACGAGATCAGGATAAATTACCAGCAGAGCTCAAACCCCTGGAGCATTTGGTTGGGTATCAGTTCAACAAGAAATCGTTGCTAATTGAAGCTATGACCCACCAGTCGTGTATGTTCGACTACCAGCGGCGATCTTACGAACATTTGGAATTCATTGGCGACGCTATTCTCGATTTCATAATCGTGCGAAAGATGTACACCGCTGAGCCGCTCCTAGCTCCTCATCAGATGCATTCGTTAAAGACAGCAATGGTAAATGCTGACTTCTTGGCATTTTTGTCTCTTGACCACCAGATGCGGCGGACAGAAACAGCCGTTACATCCGACTTGCAGATTGTTGATAAAGAGACGACTCCTTTAGCCCTGTGGACCTTTATGCGGCATTCTTCAGAGGCGATTGGAATCGAGCAAGCCACGACGTTGAAACGATATGAAGCACTTCGTGGGGAAATTCTGGCGACACTCCGCCAGGGTTCACATTATCCATGGGCTCTCCTTGCCGGACTCCAGGCCAAGAAGTTCTACTCGGACATCTTTGAGTCTTTGCTCGGGGCAGTGTGGGTTGACTCGGGCTCAATCGAGCTTTGTGAGTGCATGCTGCAGAAATTCGGAGTTTTGTCAATTTTAGACCGCCTTCTTAAAGACAGGGTCCAGGTACAGCATCCTAAGGAGGTGCTGGGCAAGATGGCGGTTACGCAGACTGTCACATATAATGTTGATGTGCAGGAGGCACCAGATGGTGATAGAGCATTTACATGCCGTGTTCTAGTGGGCCAAAGAGTCATTACTGAGGTTGTCGATGGTGTGACCAAGGAAGAAGTTAAGACGAAGGCGGCGGAGGCGGCAATACGAATTATGAGCGCGGAAAAAGACAAGGCAGCGGAAGTCAAGCATTGAGAGTTTTATTGGACCGGGTGCTGGTGAGTCCGTCTATTGGGAGCTGTATGCATGAGCGCTACGGACTCGGTGCTGGTATCAATTCGAGCACATGAGCCAAGATGTGATTGCGGGTTCGAATGGCGAGGTGAAATCTGATCCATACTATATATCCAGTTGGACAAGATAGGTTTCTCTTAGGTAGATGTGGCGCAGGTAATTGTATGGCGACAAGAATAATGGCAGAGCATGTACAAGATCAAATAATCTATTCTATAAAACTCTCGTCGTCATCTATGGGTGCTTCCTCAGTTCATCAATCACCACATCCACCATCCACCCCAACACATACTCCAGATCAGCATCTACCGGTGCCTCCTTCGGGGCCTTGATGCCTTGACTTTCCAAGACATCTGCGTTAAACGTGCCTTCCACATCCCCCCCATCAAACATCCAAGCATGTTCCTCAACATAATTTGGCCACACAATCTTGTCCACATACCCAGGGGGGTCAGCCCAGAACCCTTCAATGGTCACGTACCCATCACGGGCCTCTCTTCTTGCTTTGGCCTTGGCATATGACGCTCTCACAAACAGCTTAAGATCAAGGTGGGAATGGACGGCCTGCATGGAGGGCGAGTACAGCAGAAATCCATCCAGAAGGCACAGCCGTAGATTTGCGCCGCGCAGAGGGTGTGAAGAAGGCAGGGCGTCAGACACTCTGCTCCTGAGGGCAGCGATGGTCGATTCAGGCACAGGGCATTTTCCGACGGAATTTTGGTCTTCTTTGGAGTCTAGGGTTGGCTTTGAGGACGTTAGGATTTGGCTACAAAGGTCAGACGGTGTGGTGCAAGTACCGGAAAGGAAGCGTGCTGCCGGATATAAGAGAGGGCTTCGGTCATGGCAGAGATGTCCAGGGCGTCTGCGCTATCCCAGTCCAGCAGGCCATTTTTAACGGGTAATCTGCCTTCATGTGAGCATTGCGGCAGGTAAGAGGAGGGAACGCGACGCACTCTGGCTCTGGCTTATAAAAGTCGTCTTGGTGGAGGATAAACGTGTTGGGGAATATATCACGCAGGAGGCGGGCGAGCGTGGTTTTGCCACTCGAGGACGGACCAGATATGCCTATTATGAGGGATTTGGGCATTTGTGATGGTTCGGACGAGTGTGATTGTGATTGTTGTATAGAAGACGCGGCAACGTATTTAAAGTCAACCTTGGTATGGAGAAGATGTACTCGAGTAATTATATATGACAGTGATGGAGGGTTCTAGTTGGGCTGTTCTATGATGTGCTTGCATTTGCTTGTCTGTTTGAAGTGGTCGAGTTGCATTGCTGGCTGCTGATCCACGTCACGCTAAAGGAAAGAAATGGTGTAGTTCAACTGCCTTTGACGCCTTTAGCCTCCACGCCGAAGGTGCTCCAAAAAAAAAAAAAGGATCAAGGCAGCTCACGTCACGTCACAACAATCAATCCACACTACCCGCATCTCATTCTCACTTCAATTCGATACCGCAACAACTCAATTCCCCGCCATGGCCGTCGACCAAGGCACCCAAACGGGCATCATCCTCACCACCTCCCTCGCTGCCTTTATCTCCGGCTGGCTATTCGGAGTCTTCACAACCCGTGGCTACCTGATCTCGCCAGCACTCGCCGAAGAACGTCACCGCAACCTGCACGACCCCGTGGAAAGCGACGAAAGCGACATTGACGAGGACGACACCATTCTCGACCATGCGCCGAACTGGGCCAACGGCGCCGCTGCCGACCGCAAGCAAGGCCTCAGGGCAAACGCCCGCGTGGGAGGCATGACGGAGCGCCAGACGCTGGATGCCGAATCCAACGAGGAGTGTAAGCTTGTCCTGGTGGTGAGGACGGACCTGGGCATGACCAAGGGTACGTGGGCTCCCCTCCAGTCCCCTTCCTTTTTGTTTTTCCAATGTCTTATGAAGTGGGATATAATCAACTGACAACGCAACGCAACCAAAGGCAAAATGGCCGCTCAATGCTCCCACGCCACCCTCGCCTGCTACAAGGCCCTCGCCCGCTCCGCCCCCGACAGTGCCGAGCGCAAACTCCTCCAGCGCTGGGAGAAGCGCGGCCAGGCCAAGATTGCAGTGCAAGTCAAGAGCGAGGCGGAGCTCATGGACTTGCGGTGGAAGGCTCTCGACGCGGGCCTCACGGCCGAGGTGATACAGGATGCCGGCAGGACGCAGATTGACCCGGGCAGCTTGACCGTCTTGGGCGTTGGGCCTGCGCCGAAGAGTGCCGTGGACAAGATCACGGGCCATTTGAAGCTGCTGTGATGAGATGAATAAATATACATCAGAGGGCGTGAATCAGAGGCAGAACTGCACTTGAGGGAAATGCAAAAAGGAATTCGGATTGATGCTAGAAAAGTGGCGGGTTTAAAGGCGTCTTGGACTTTTTTTACACGGTGTATGTACATTGCAAAAGTTGATAATTGCTTAGCATGGCTTTGAAGACGGGTGATGAGGATGGTGGTCACTTATACGACACAAGATGGTGCTGCGTCGGGATGCAGAAGAGAGAGACTAGAAATTTGATGCGCCAGTCTACATACGCCATGCACCCCCATGATGAGTTTTTTATATATACAAATTTCAGCGGCAGACATGCCACCCTCAATCCTTTCTGGCAAATCTTGACAAGGCTGGTCCCAGATCCGCCTCCACCTCCTTTCTCTTCTTGTCCTTCAGCTTCTGCTGCTCGTTCCACATCTCGTCCACCCGTATCCTCTTCTCGTCGATGACGTTCTTCTTCCTCTGCTTCCGCAGGTACTTCTTCAACGCGCCATTCTTGCCTCGGGCCCTCTTCCTGATTTCCTCGGCGATGTCTACAGCCGGTGCGTCCAGATCCCTGTCCGCCTTTCTTTGGGCGTCGGATCTCAAGTCCAGATTGCCGATGAAGTTGGGGTCCAGAGCAATCATCTCGGGTGAAAGCTTGTTCAGGAGACCCTTGACTTCGGATTCTTGTCGCTGCTTGACCGTCTCGAACGGGTTCGCTTCGAGTGCGTCAAAGTTGGCTTCGCCGGCACCGGGGATGATGATTGACGAGAAGCCCTGATCGTGGCTTACGCCGAGGATATCTTCAAAGGGACACCATCTCACGCGTTCAATGCGTTTTCCCTCGCCACCCCATGTCATGTAGGGGGCATTCACCTTTTCCTGGACGGCGTTGTGCTTGTTGAAGAGGTCCTTCCAGACGGTGGTTTGCGTCCCCCACCCGACGGCTGTGAGGCCTGTGTCTGATATGGCTACCGACGAGGCAGGCTGGCGAGTGTAGTAGTTGTTGACTTCCTTGAACATTCTAATGTCCCACACTGCCATCTTGAGGTCTTGGCCCGTGGACACCATGTAGCGGCCTTCTCGATCCATTGCTAGTGATCGAACGGGGCCGCGGTGTGCAAGAAGCTTGACCAGCGGGTCTTGTGCATTGGGTGACCATAATGTGACGGTGCCATTTTGGTGTCCGACGTGAAGTACGGCGTTGTAGGGATTGTGTGCCATGGACACGGGCTGTCCTAGTCGTGAGGGCATTTCAGCCACGAGCTGACCGGTCGAAGTGTCCTGATATTTAATTACACCACCGGTGTTCTATACAACAGGCATTAGCTTTTTTTTTTTTTTAAGATTAAGCAAAGGTAGAAAATTTCATTCAGGGCACTCACAATCGTCGCCAGCAGGAAGTGGTATGGCAGAAATTCCATATGAGTTACCTCATTGTGCTTCCTCAAATTGTGCAGCTCCACGCCATTCCTGTCGTAGATGTAGACATGCTTCTTTTGCGCAACTGCAAAATACTGGTTATTGTGCAGCCACTTGATATCTCGAACAGTCTCTCCCAACTGTAATTCGCAACCAAGCTTGCCCTCCCGCCAATCCATGGTCGCGACGTGGCCCTTCCGCCCAGCCAGCAGCAGTTCCCGGCCGTTCCTGGTGTAGTCGCAGATATAAGGACCAAGAGCATCAAGTTTCAAGTCGAAGCGCTTTTGTGCCGTCGCCACGCCAATGTCGGAAACAATGTCTTCTTGTCGAACCTTGAACGTGCGTTCCATCTCGCCTTCGGCTTCGAGAGAGCCAGCCGTGTTTTCAAGCAATATCTCGGCGTCCTTGGCCTTGATTGCGGCATCTTGGTACTTGTCCTCCAGTCGCTTCATGTTGCTTCGCAGTTTCTTGTCCTTGATGTTCTTGGTGTTGATCTTCTTGCCACGGCCGTACGCTTTGTGAGCTTCTCGTATGCGGCGAAGCTTTTCTCTCTCATGCCTGGGCATGAGCTCCATCCGCGGCTTTCCCACAGCAAGGGCGCCATTTTCACGCAGCTTGGTGATGGGTTCATCAATTGTGTCGACTTCCATGATGCATAAATTCCTCCCCAGGCAGGATTCGCTGAAGAAGGGAAAATGGACCGTTGGCAAACGGCTGATTGAAGGTCCTGCGACGGATGGATAATAATTATACTACAAACATGGATTCGCTGAAGGACAAAATTTCCAGCCAACACCTGCTATCGCCCTGCCACGATTGGCTGTACTGACACGGGCTAGATCCGCAGACCCGCTATATCTTATCGATAGCCTGCCGCACAAAAATTTCCTGATAACCACAAGACAACCCCTCCATTACCGCCTACCTTTGCGACCAGGGCAAAGGCATAGCGGCAAGACGTCTGTTTCCGGTCACACATCTCTTCGTTTTCTTTCAACTTTTTTTTCTGCCCTCACATTCCTGTGACTGTAGATCGGTTTTATATTCATCCTGGAGTCTCTTCCCTTCCGGTTCAAAGCCGGGGGCAACAGCAAAATGCCTGTTGCTGTTGCGAACCATTCGCATCGCCCCACCACAAAGGTGTCGCACAAGCCGTTCAAGTCAAAGGCCGCGTCAAAACACGAGCTGAGAGATCGTGCCAAAGGTATGCGCTGGTGGTTTATCTCTCCGGTGTGAGCCAATAGGATCCCTCTCGTTCTAATTACTTATATACAGGCCGAGTCCCAAACGAGGGGAGCCAAAGACGGACGCCGCACCAACAGGTCATGTCCAAGTTCGATCGACGAAACCAGGCCAAGCAGGCTCGGTTGACCAAGCACAGAGAACACCTCAAGGAGACTTCAATATTTTCCGGAAAGGATGGTGCCCCAAGAATTGTTGCCGTTGTCCCTCTGTGCGCTGATGGCGACGCCAAAGTCGCCATTAAACAACTGAACGGGAGCCTGGATATTGAGGCCGATGTTCAAGATGGAAACTTTCGGGTGTCAGTCGACCGTTTTAAGCAGAAGCTTCAGTATATTCCCCTCCAGCGTGAACTCAATGCCTGCTTGGACGCTGCTCGGGTTGCCGATTTCGTCGTTGTAATTCTGTCCGCCAACGAAGAAGTGGACGCGGTTGGAGAATTGATCTTGCGAAGTATAGAAAGTCAGGGCATGTCAACCCTCTTCACTTTGGTACAAGGCCTCGAGACGATTGAGCCAACCAAGCAACGTCAATCTACCGTGGCATCTCTCAAATCCTTCATTACGCATTTCCACCCCGAACAGGAGAAGCTGTACAGCCTGGATAATAGACAAGAATGCTCCAACTTGATGCGATCTCTGTGCAATACCACACCCAAGGGTGTCCGCTGGAGGGATGACAGAAGCTGGATTCTTGCCGAGGATATAAAATTTGCCGCCAACGAGTCGGAGTCTACCGTCGTCACTGGTGTTGTTCGAGGGCGCGGCATGAAGGCCGACAGACTGGTACAGCTTGGCGGCTGGGGCACGTATCAAATTGAAAAGATTGTGGCGGCTCCCTTAGCAAAGCACGCCAAGAAAGGTGATGAATCTGCTGTCGAAGTCGAGGCTGAGAACGTGTTGGAGGTTCCTTCGGAGGATCGGGACGACTTGGACGAACTCGCTCCGGAGGATGTAGTCATGGATGCCGAGGATGATTCTGAGATGGCTAAGGAACCCGCGCCGAAGAAGGGTGTTTTGCTCGACGACCACCACTACTTTTCCGATGACGACGCCGAAGAAAGGAAGATAAAGAAGAAAGTGCCCAAGGGTACATCCAACTACCAGTCAGCCTGGTACCTAGACGATGTTTCCGACTCGGACTCGGACATGGAGGACATGGAAATAGACGACCACAAGGGTCAAGATGAGGAAATCGGCGCGGAAGATGGCATCGAGGGGTATGCTCAGCCTGAACCCACAGAAGCCGGACCTTCTGAATACCCACAATCTGAAATGATGGATGTCCCCGACGCCGCCGACGATGCGCAGCAACTGGCTCAGTTTCGTGCCCGCAAGCGCGACGAAGCCGAAGACGACAAAGAGTTCCCCGATGAAATCGAGCTACACCCCCACGTCCTCGCCCGCGAGAGGTTAGCCCGATACAGAGGTCTCAAAAGCCTGCGAACAAGCCCATGGCAAGAAGACGAAGATCGGGCCCACGAACCCGAGGAATGGAGGCGCCTCCTCCAGGTGCCCGACTACAACTCCTCCCGGTCTCGGGCCGTTCGAGAAGCTCTCGTCGGTGGTGTTGCGCCCGGCACCCGCGTCCACGTCTACGTCAAGGGCGTTACGACGGACGTTGCCAAGTCACACAAGCCCAGCGCACCCGTCGCGCTCTTCTCACTCCTCCGCCACGAGAACAAGAAGACCAGTCTCAACTACCTGTTCAATCTGAGCAACGACTACGGCAAGTCCATCAAGTCCAAGGAGGAACTCATTGTGCAGTGCGGACCGCGGCGCATGGTCATCAAGCCCATCTTTTCCAACCCGGGCTCCACGCCAAACGACGTCCACAAGTTCTGCCGCTACTTGCACCCGGGCCAGTCGGCCATTGCGTCCTTCATGGGACCCATGACATGGGGCGCCGTGCCCGTCATGTTCTTCAAGAGATGCGCCCCTGGAACCACTAATGCCGACGGCGAGCAGGACATTGGTCTAAGTCTAGTCGGCACAGGCACCGCCCTGCCGCCGTCCACGTCCCGAGTCGTGGCCAAGAGAGTCATCCTGACGGGCCACCCGTACCACATCCACAAGAAGATCGTCACGGTGCGGTACATGTTCTTCAGCCGCGAGGATGTAGAGTGGTTCAAGGCCCTGCCGCTGTGGACGAGAAGAGGACGGACGGGCTTTATCAAGGAGCCGCTGGGTACGCATGGCTACTTCAAGGCCACGTTTGATGGAAAGATTAACCCCCAGGATGCGGTGGGCGTGAGCTTGTATAAGCGTATGTGGCCGCGGGCCTCGAGGCCGGTCCGGGAGCCGTTGCTGGAAGGTTCTGCTGCCGTCGTGGGACAA